GAAGGTATGAGTTCATTAAAAGTCCTTCTAAAAGAAAGGTCTAGTCAGTTCCTCCTTTCTTCTCTAACCTTCCCTCAAAATAACAACAATAAAAAAATAGCATGTCTCTAAAAAAAACAAAAAACAAACATATACATATACATATACATATACATATACATATACATATACATATATATATATATATATATTTTATATGAAAAGAACTAGGCCTCCTAAGATGAATATTGGTCCCATTTATTACTCTGGCATCTAGAATATTCATGGCCTGACAGGCAGCTCTCAAACCATTCACAGAAAACTAAATAAAGTCAAGGTCACCAGTTGACCTTCAATAACCAGAACTTTCAATCAGCCTTCTAATTTCCTCATCCTCAACCATCTATGAACAATTGAGAATTATAAGACAGTAGTGGCAAAAAAATCAAAAACAAACAAACAAACAAAAAAACTAACACAAAGGAGAAAGACAAAGTTAAAAGAAAAACTGACCCTTTAGGAAATAAATTGCCTAGATGATAGAAAAGACTTTAAAATTCCAGATTTGACACCCATAAACCAAGAATAAAGCCACAATCAACTCATAGAAATTAAAATAAAATGTTATATATTAGAGTCAGAATATAAAGGAAATCTCCAAGGTTATACAGCAAAAAACACAGAGATGGAAAATAGGAAAGAAAAGTCAAAGAACCAGGAAATTCAAGAGATCCAACATCCAAATAACACACATTTCAGGAAGAAATAACAGGGAAAACATGAAGGAATCTATTTTTTTTAAAGTAGCAGAAATTTTCTCAGAAACAGATACATGAATCTTCAAACTGAAAGTTCTTCCAGTACAAAGAGGAAGATGATCCAAACCTAAGCATATCCTCATTCTATATAATAAAGAGGTAATATGCAAATTAATCCTCACTCCATCACAAGATGGCTGTACCCACAGCAGAGGAGGGGTTCCCATAACGAGTGATCAGCAGGGACCTGAGACTACATGGCACAGGGGCAGGGCAAGAGACCTGAGGCTGTGCCCTCCCACCTAGCAGGGCTTGGCTAGGGGATCTCAGGCTTCCCCCACCCAATGGGGCTTGATGGGGAACCTCAAAGAGAACCCTCTGTTCTGGTGCCAGGCTAGACCTCAAGCTGCATCCTTCGCCCTGAACTAGGAGACCTGGGTCACACCCCCTGCCCCAGTGCCAGGCCAGGGGACCTCAGGCCGCACCTCCTGCCCTGGAACTGGCCTGGGGAACCTCAGGCTATGCACCCCACCCGGTGAGGCTTGATGGTTGACTTCAGGCAGAGTCCTTTACCCCAGGCTGGGGAATCTCAGGCCGTGTCCCCCACCCTGGCTCCGGGCGGGAGATCTCAGGTCATTCCCCCAGTGCAAAGAGACCTGAGGCTGCGCCCCCCACCTGGCGCCAGGCTGGGGGACCTGAGGCTGCTCTCCTCCCTCGCCCGGCGGGGCTTGACGGGTGGGGCCAGCTGGGTCTGCGCCCGAGTGATTTTGAGGTGCGCACAGGTGGATGGGGTCTTGACTCTGGGTCCCACGTCACGCCCAGACTCTTGACAGGAGGAAGGTTTTCATATACATTTTACTAATTTTCTTTCATCTCTGACACTTCTATTATAGAGAAAGGGCAAATAGCAATATTAAAATATTTCCTCTAATTAATTCCCTTTTAAAGTGCACGAAGCCACTAGTATAATTATGGAATACCAAAAATAAAGAAAATATGCTAAAAGTTTCCAATAGGAATAGAAATAGGTAATATATAAATAACATCTTTCCTACAATTACATAGATCTATATATAGTACGTACCCAAAACTTACCTTGTACTTACACTCACCAGAAAGCCATTCTCCCTTCTATCTATTCTCTACTTGTCTTTCAAACTCCCATTCAAATCATGTTTCCTTTGTGAAACTTTTCACCAACTTGTTTATCTACTGTGATCTTAACCTTGCTGCCCTATTCATTCATTTGAGATTCAATCTGTATTACTATACTTACTTCTGAATTTTTGTAGCCAAATATCATTTCTTAGAATTTTTTTAAACTATCTGTTCACAGAAAATAAGAAGTCTTAATTTCTTTTTAAAATTTTTTTCAGAAACCTGTAGCCAGGAGACCTGAAACTTCTTCTCAGAACATAATCTTAACAATCTTAAGTTCATTAGTTGCTTACAGTTTCATCTTTTCCTAAATTCATGAAAAAGTATATATATATATATATATATATATATATATATATATATATATGCCCAGTGACCAGAACAGCGGAATGACAACCAGTGGCTATGACACACTGCGACAGCCCACAAACCTGATCCAGGCCCTGATCGCCCCACCCCACCTTGATCGGGGGCAGAGTTAGCCGGCCATTCACCTGTGGCCCCTTCCCCTGGCCAGCCCAGCCCGATGGGCCCCCATCAGGGCGGGCCAGCTGAACCCCACTTCTGCATGAATTCATACATCAGGCCTCTAACCTATATAATAAAAGCCCAAGCGACCATTATGGCAGAATGACCAGTCGCCATGATGTGCACTGACCACCAGGGAGCAAACACTCAACGCAGGAGCTGCCCCCTGGTGGTTAGTGTGCTCCCACAGGGGAGTGCTGCTAAGCCAGAAGCCAGGTTCACGGCTGGTGAGCGCATCGGCTCTGGGGGAGCCTCTCCAGCCTCTGCGGCAGTGCTAAGCAGCAGCAAGAAGAGTGAGTGGCAAGCAGGCAGCAGGCATGCGGTAAGAAGCGAGGGGTCCTGGACTGCGAGAGGCACAGGCTGGACTGAGGGACAACTCTCCCACTCCAGTGCACGAATTTTGTGCACCAAGCCTTTAAGGTTTATATATGTAGATAAAGTTGAAGGAACTTTTAGGAGGAAACATATATAAATAGCATAGAGGTAATCCTTTTCGAAACCCCCACAAACTTTAAGTTATATTTCCTAATTGCAACTACTTACCCTAAACAGGGACTAATAGCAGTTTCAGTGCTGACAGCACACAATTCAGAGGAAGAACACAGAAGGATCCCTTTATGGAAAGGGTGGGAGGATAGAGGAGACATGCTACCCTGAGTAATGATACAATTGTCTTGGACCAATATCTAAGAGGCAGTTGCTATTCCAACCCAGATAATAAACTAATGCAGTAAGAAAATTCAAACAAAGTCTGGGTCTATAATTTTACACACCAAAAATCAAATTCTAGAGATTCTACACAAACAGTAAAAGTGCCTATTACTTTGCCCTCTCAAACTTTTAGTATCTGCTGGGAAGAAATAAAGGATAAGAAATCTAGCTGATTATAGGATTACTAGTGGCCCAGTGCACGGGCGGGGGAGGGGGGGTGTCTCCCCTCAGCCTGGCCTGCATCCTCTCCAATCTGGGACCCCTCAGGGGGCATCCCTCTAGCAATCCATGAATTCCCTATACATGAAGAAACTTTTGAGGGAAGAGAGTTCCAATATATGTGAATGTTTTTCCAGTTCTAACACAAATCAGGTTGTCTTTGTCCAAGGTGTCTTAAAAAAAAAGGATGAAGAAATATCTCTTAAGTTTGGCGATTATTGCATAGTCTTTCTTCCTTAAGACTTCAAATATATGGTTCATCTAGCAACCAAGGTTAATACACTATGTTCAAGAACCAGCTTTCACTAACATTTCTAGGGAAAGAGGAAGGAGATTCTTTTAAGCGTGTTTCCTTACACTGACTGAGCTCTGACTAATCAAGCAGTACTAAGAGTTTCCTTCCTCAGTGCTGTAGCCCCCACTTGTCAGGCTGAGCTCTGACAAGAATTTCCATTATGCACATCAATCTAAATTGACAGACACTATTCCCACTCAAATAAACTGTTACTCCAATTTTCATTTAAAATATTTTTCATTCCCTTTAAAGTTATAGGTGAAAGCATAAGAGCAGATACACAGGTAAACATTATTCCCTTCTAGACTGCTGTTTTAAAAATAAAATATTTTCAGCATTCCTATTGCAATATACTCTTCCTTCTATCAATTTGTTAGTGCTTGTAAATACAATGCCTACCTAACATAAAAAGACAAGAAAATAGCAATAAATGAGCATCTGTAGGGAGAAAAAATATACTTAAAGTCTAATAAGATATAAATACAAATTATTGAGAAATTATTAAAAACTATAATTTATTCTTACAGGTATGTTTTTAACCATATCTTTCACCACTTGCTTTATAATTCTCAATACCAAAACTGGGTGAAAATTATTTTTATTTACATAAATATAAATGTAAAGCCACTACTTTTGTGCATGACAGATTTTCTGGAGTAAAGACATTATTAATACATCACTTCAACTCAAAGGTTTCTGTAAAGTATTATTCTGCCATCCAAGTACTAACCAGGCCCGACCCTGCTTAGCTTCCGAGATCAGACGAGATCGGGCGCGTTCAGGGTGGTATGGCCGTAGACATGTAAAGTATTATTCTGAATGTATTGTTTTAAATGAACAGATGTTCCTATTTTATTGAAAAATATTTAAGGAACAAATTTTAAAACAATCACTGACACCTGTACACAGGGTTTCGATTTACTGTGACACAGAAATCTCACAGAAAGCCAGTTTATTAGGAATAGAAATCTATTTTGTCACCTTTTCAGTGGAGATGATTAATGCAGATCTATGGGGGAAATTACCTTTCCTAAATATCACTTACAATTTAAATGGAAATCCAGAAAAAAAAGTATAAACAATATTCTCAGTTCAATGAGAAACTAAAAAGATATAAATATATCCAAATCTTTCTTTTTTCCTTTCAAGTAAACTTTAAAAAGGAAAATTGTGTTTACCTACTCAAACTACAGCACCAATAACTTTCTATTGAAGTTCAAAGAGTAATATTTCTAATAGCCCATAAAAATAATGGAAATACCAATCCCTCAACTAGAAATAATCCATAAAATGCAGTAACTTTTAAAACCTTTGCTTGAGTTGAGTCTTTTATTTATTACAGAAATACTCACATGTGTGGGTTTTGAACTCCTGTAGGATTGGGATTCAGAGTAAACCTTGCTGTAGATTTGAAAGGTGGATTTGCAAAATTCAACTTCAGTGCTTTGCGTTTACCTAAGAAATAACAAATAAAAAGTAAAAGTTTCAAGTACTATAAAACAGGTACTATTTTGAGGGCACAAGAAATTCATACCAAAGGCAGAAAAATTTGCTTTAACATATAGTTAACATAATGTTCTAAAATGCAACCATGATTTCCAGAATTAAGGAAAAGTAAATAAAAATTATCTAAAAGTTGTTACTATCCATAAATCACTCAATATACTCCAGTAAAACTGAAAACAATGCTCAGTGCATCCTTTATATTGTTCAGAAATACTAACAATTTTGCAAATGGAAATACCAACATGAAAATCATTTACCTTAGCATTGACACTGAAAAATGCTAAACCTTTCCAGTGTTATACTTTAATGCCTTAGTTTAATAAAAATCATTTTCTCTCAAATATACTATAAACAATTGAGAATAGAATCTGAAGCATTCACAACCACAATGGGCTAAAAAGTATCATAGTAGGGTCAACTCCAAATTAATAATAAAGGTATGCCAAACAATAATATATTTGGAGCAAATTCTTTGGGACAAAGGAAAGTATCAATGTTTTATATCAAACACACAAAACTGTCCATTATAAAAAGCCAGAAATATCAGAAAAGATAAAACAAAAAAGTATATAAAATATAATATATACATCTATAAAAGTTTTAAATATTTATATACACTTAAAAGTCCAATTACCCCAAACTAATCATTGTCTGTTACAGACTATTTTCTAATACATAGACATATTTTTTTCTCTACAATTAAAATCAGACCATAATACAGTTCTGTAGCATGCTTCACCCACTGACCATGTTTCTTTCTATTTCAATAAATCTTATAAACCATTTCTTTAGGATTCTAGTATAAGGAAACTGTAACTAAGTTGGGATTTTAAGCATTTGTAAGCCCATCTAGGTTTCATTACATTTTAAGGATACTTGTCCTAGCATTCACTCTTCACAGTTTATTATACAAATATCTCCCTACTCAACCTTCTCTGCAATCCAAATACTTTCCCACCTCTGTGGATTCAAAAGATGAATGAGTGAGCTCAACCTGTTCAGCCCGGTACTTCGATGGGATTTGGAAGTGTAAGTGTGCACACTAGCTGGACAAGACCGCAGAATGCACAGAGCTCCTGGCACCGTTCCGGGTCAGCTCTCAGGGCTAGGCCTTCTACAAGACGTGAATTCCGAAGACCAGACACATCATTTTCAAAGATAAGCACAGTATGGCATAAATATTCCATATAACTTGCTTTTCAGTTACCAAATATCTACTTAAAACTATTTTTATTTGGCTAGCAGGGTAAGGACATTCAAACTTTACCTGCTAAAGGTACTCTATGAAAAATGGCAGACCTGGCTGCATTAAAAAGCAAATTCTGTATATTACAAAAAAAACTTAAAAGAATTAAAATGAAGCCCTAGCTGGTTTGGCTCAGTGGATAGAATAGACTGAAGGGTCCTGGGTTCTATTCCAGTCAAGGATATATGCCTGGGTTGTGGGCTCAGGCCCCATTGGGGGAGGGGGGGTATAGGAGGCAGCCGTCAATGATTTTCTCTTATCATTGATATTTCTATCTCTCTCCCCCTCTCCCTTTTTCTCTGAAATCAACAAAAATATATTTTTTAAAAAATTAAAATACTTGGGAAAATCCTTGTAAAACAAAATCAGAAAATGTAAATATACAAAAACATCACACAAATCAATAAAAAATTTAAAAATTGGCAAGGGCATAAACAGTAAAGAAAAATTATGAAAGAATTATCAAAGGCACTCACTAATACCAAAAACAGTTACAATTTTTATTCATGTGAAATTGGCAAAGTTTAAAGGTTTTATTATACATATGCATATATATTTTTAATATGATCAAGTGACTAGGTAAAATAATCACTAGTATAATACACTGCTGGTAGAAAATTGATATAATTTTTCTGGTGAGAGGTTCAGCAATATACAAGGAAGATTTTTAAATAAATGTGCTCTTTTACTTCTTGGAAATCTGTCTTTAGGAAATATTTAAAGGCAGATTCTTCTCATGCCCTGAAACCTGGCGGAATTTGTCCTGCTGAATTTTGAAAATTGTTTGGGACTGATGACTCCTCTCTTCAATTGTCTCCTGTTCTCGCTTTAATTTTATCCAATGCCTGACCCATCACTGTATCTTAGAAGCAGATAACTGGCCTTCTTGTTTATATAAAAAACTAGAGGCCCCAGTGGGGTCCCTTGGCCTGGCCTGCAGATCAGGCCAAAACTAGCTCTCCAAAAATCCCTGAGAGATCTCGGATTGGGAAAGGGTGCAGGCCAGGCCGAGGGGCCCCACTGGTGCACATTAGGGCCTGGGAGGAATGCAGGAGGTTGGCCAGCTAGGGAGGGACTGTGGGAGAGCTCCAGGGCATGTCTAGCCCATCTCACTCATTCCTGATCAGCTGGACCCCAGCAGCAAGCTAACCTACTGGTCAGAGCATCTGCTCCCTGGTGGTTAATGCATGTCATAGCGAGCAGTTGAGAGGCCTTAGTATATCATTAGCATATTATGCTTTGATTGGTTGAATGCATGACCGGACGATTAGACACTTAGCATATTAGGCTTTTATTATATAGGATGGGTTGCATTCAGTGTCACCCATACCTGATTTAGAGGATTTTGGTGGTCAAATTTCTGTCTGTGGAGCTGATAATGTCCAGGTAAGATCTGCATTGGACCTGTAGGGTCAATGTTGCACTTGGGGCAGATGTGAATTATCTGGGAGCCAGAAGGCAGACTGTAGCAAACTAAATGGCGGACCCCAAAGATAACAGGTCCTAATCTTTAGAACCTATGAATGTTACTTTATACAGTAAAGTTTCTGAAGATAAAATTATATAAGGGCTTTTGCAATCATAAATTGAATAAGCTCAAAGCCCACAAACATCCCAAATCAAAGCTGAACATCACCTATCATATGAAGTACATCTGAAACCACCCGATACATGGTCCTTTACCTCTCTTATAGTGAAAACTGATAAAAGACTAAGATCAAATGTAGGACAATGACACAACAAAGAATCATTGTGAAAACTACCCAAAGAAAAACACCAAAATTGGTCCTTTCTTCAAAAGCCCAATTTTAGAGGACAGTAGCTCACCTCTGCAGGCAAACAAAATATACTATTACAATTAAAACGTACTCAAACTGTTTAATTGAAAATAAATATCCTATATAATAAAGATGTAATATGCAAATGATTGTTATGCTGTGAAGGATAACGACCGACCACTTAACAACTGGATCATGCCTCAGCAGGAGGGTGGGGCAGTGAGCTACAACTGGGCGGTGGAGAGCTACAGGAGGAGGCCAGGCAGCAAGCTATGAGGGGGGATGGAGGAAGCTACAGGAGGGTGGGCAGCGGGCAGAGAGCTACAGGAGGGTGGCAGCTAGGTACTGGCGAGCTACTGGCACATGGATCCATGCACAGGGCTACAGTTTATATATAATACACAACACAAAGATTCTTTTTTAACATTGCAATCACATTTAAACAAAAAATGGTGTCTTCAAAGGCCTTTTATTGCAAAAATAAATAAGCACATATGTAATGGAATATGACTTAATTTGCATACATTAGATGTAAACACACTCTATACTTCAGAAACATCTGCAACTATCTTGAAAACCACCCAGTATATATTCTGATCTTTTACTAGCAAATACATTAAATAACTCTATAAACTTCAAAGCCTCTTTAGGCAGAGGTGACTGAGAGCCTAAAGCTGGTGCCAAGGAGTTTAGAAGATCAAGTTACACAGCCTGTTCTCCATAGTGCCCCAACTCTCCAAATAACCAGTTTAAGATGAACTCACTGTTTAGGAGGAAAAGGAACAGCCCAGAAAGTCAATCAAAGATGAGCTTCAGGGGAAAATAGTAAGAGTCGACTTTACAATACTTTAGAGAGGAATTTCCAGGCCTTTTATGTTTGTTTGTTTGTTTGTTTAAAAATCTCTCCTCGCATTAACTTTCTCTAAGAACCTCTTAAGAACTGGTCTTTCCCATCTCTTTCTCTTCCGCAACAAAACTAAAACCTAAAGGCAACCTGTCACCATCTATTCAGATATTTTTAATGATAAAACTACAAATAGGACATTAGACTAAAATAAAGTTTTTCCGAAATCCTGCAACAACTTCCATAGGAAGAAAAGGGTACAGGGAAAGAAGTGATACTGTAATTGGCCTGTGGAGATTGCTGGAAGCTTACAGGAATTAAAATATTTGTACAGCAGGGTTTAAAGTAATTGCTCAAGAAAGATTATAAACTTCTGTTTATAATTATCCTTTTGGTGAGATTGTCACCAAATAATCAATTCCTAACCAATCAGCAGAAATAAACAGATCCTCTCCTTTATCTACAACAGGCTAGAAACTAGATATAATCAAACATCTTAAATTATTTATGTGGCAGGAGAAAATACATTCTTCTCCTATGAGAAAAGATTGTCTTTATATATTTAAAGCCTACGTTTTGTGCCTTATGTAGAAAATGCTCTCAAGTGTTTATTGATCTGAAAATAAATTTGACATGGACAGTCCAGACAACTCAGTGTAGGTTAAATTAGCTAGAATAAGTTTCTGTTGTTTGCAACCAAGAACCCCGACTGATAAGAAAAACAGTATCTGTCCTCAACCCAAAATGCTTCCTACGCACTGCTATACCCTTTAGGGCAGCACTGCCTAACTTTCTCATGTTCTGGCTGATGGAGAAAATGGGGTGTTTGTTCAACACTGGGGAAATAAGAATCATAGCTAGTCCAGAGGCTGGCCTAGTGGATCAGCAGCCTTGAGCCCCACTCAGCCATTCCAAGTACTGAGGGTACCAATCTCTACACAACCCTTGAAATTCTGGTCTCAAAGCTCTCCCTTAAGAGAATACTCATCTAAGACAATTTCTTTCCCAATAGTTTTTAAGAGAGAAGCATTCCCAAGCATGGGATCTTCAAAAATATTCAGAACTCTGACTGGAAAACAAG